TGAAGCATGTAGGTAACCATGTACATTAGTAAATATATACTTTTTCCTGCTTCGTACAGCACACAGCGATCTCTGTGACGCTAGAGCAGTTTTAAAGTTACTACTGGGCACTTCCTATGCATGTTGCTCATTTTGCGACCCATGGAAAAGGCAGCACCAACAAAAGAGGTTGGGAGTCGGCATGAACCAATGCGCATCTCCAGTTAAGAGTATAAATAAAAGAATTAGTCATTCGGCTCTCGTGAGATAACATGAATCCGAAAGCTCATCAACAAAAGCCGAAAGGAGGAAGAATGTGCCTCATGTAGCTTACACCTGTGTTTCAACAGCCTTCTTGAAAAAGTTGAGCTTGGCTTGTTTTGCGCTCCTAGCAGGGGCTACAGCAAAACACTCGTACGTGTGAGAATTAGTTGTTCAAAACAACTTTAGAGCCTGCAGTTATGTTTGATCAAACTGTTGATATTCAAAAAAGAGGGCTAGCTCTCTACCTTTGGCCTTGGTGCGACCATTACAACCCAGAACTGCAGATTTCCACTCTTCATAATCGTGTCTGTCCTTTCGCTTACGCTTTTTATAGGCAGAAGGCTGCAGTTGGGTTATGAGATACAATTAGAACTTCAATGGACAAACTGAAAACTAAGACCATATAATACCGTGGGCAACCTAGCTACGGTGCAAGTCCAATTTCAGGATAAATGAAACAGTTTTCTAATTTAGTTAAGAAAATGTTCGTGTTTCTCCATCATAGATAGACACTTTGCCTTCGGTAATGCATCAAATCTAGTCGGTGAATTTGATTTCAAGAACGTTGCCTAGATAGTGTCAGTCACTGATCATACTGGAATCCTTTCATGGTATGAGATTCTCAAGTAATTACCTCCCCACCATCATCAGATAAATAACCACCATCCTCCACCGTCCTCTTTTCAGGCAATGCATCCAGCAGTGCTGCATATGCATAGGGTAAGAGAAAATTAAGCTTAGACTTTCAATTACAGCCTCAACTAAGCCACTGAAATATATGAAAAGCCTAATATGCGAATCACATCACAATAACATACTATAAGATCATTCAGATCAGCTTCCTACCTCGGTTTCCTTTTATTTCCCTAGGATCCTTTTTCTCCTTTGACACGCCAAACTCGTCGAAGCATAGGTCCCTCATGGAGATGGATACCTGTCAAAGCATTTCTAGCTCAACATTCCTTGAGTTATCAAAAAATGGAAGTATGATGCTCGATAACAAACAAAATTGCAGGTATAAGAAAATGTATAGCCTTTACACTTGAAAATTCAGATTCTGAGGTGCCACAGATTTCAATCAACTTCATCTTATCTACGTTCAGCTGCAAAATCACCAGTGGATTGTTAGTTAAGAACTTACAATTCTACTTTATTTGCTTTGCTTGCATGGAGCAGGCAAAAGATGCACCTGTATTACCTTGTATTTTTTCGCGCAAAGGTAGAATGCAACAGCAGTGAATACAGGGCGAGTGAAATCAGCAGTGCCCCTACGAGATGGGGGCAAGGAAGAAAGAAATCGATCCTTGTATCTGAAAATCAGCATGAGAAAAGGAAACTTCAATAATATGAAGAATGACAGAATTCATCTTCCTACAAAGAGAATTATTTTCATGTGTTCCTATATAACAACTCCACATAGATACACATCCAAAATTTGTAACGTACTCTAAGCAAACATTGTACATTTAACACCAAAAATTTTAGCCTTCTTACTCTAATCAACACACAATGCTCCAAAGAGAAAGAAGGCTTATAATCCAAAATCTATATATTGTTCTTAAAGTGTTTTAGAACATCTGTTGAGCACGATGAAACAATAGCAGTTGAGTTTGAAACTTACAAAGACAAGCCTTTGTGTACAAATGGAATGAGCCTTACACATCCGAATTGGACTGCCAATTCTCTAACATCAACATTGTTCCTACACACACCAGAAAAGGAAAAAAAGAAAAAGAACCTCTCATTAACTGATACCAACGCAAAAAAAAAAAAGGGTTCTCATTAATAAAATAATACCATCAACCAAGAAACTGGATAACATACTTGACTCCAATGCCGTTTTGCATTGAATTGAAGGATCTAATATAAGCCCTCTCTGACATCCCACTTAACCTTATCGCTGCTTGTCGATCAAAGATCACATCCATCCTACAAATGTTTTGACCAAAATCAAAAAAGATATTTAAAATACATATATATTCAATCCAACTCAAATTTAACAAAATTTGGCCGCGTTTCAGTAAAGGACCCCTACAATTTAACGTCCCAATTCAACAAAAAGAAAAGTTACCAAAATAAATAAATACACAATATGGCAGTACCTAGAAGCAGCAATCTCTAAGCACATTATAGCCTTGCAGATCTCCCCCTAAAATGAAAATCAACCAAAAAAATAAGTTAATCAATTAATAAACTCATAAAGAAAGTTGGAAGAAAGAGTAGAAGCTTATAATCCAAATTGGGATGCTTACAACACCAATGATAGAGGAATCAAATTGGGCGTCTGCTAGGCGGCGGAGCTCTGCGGCTTTGCGGATAAGGTGTTTGGGTTGTGAGAGGCCAAGCTTTTTGGCAATTTCTGAGAGGTCCATTGTCTTTTTTTTCTGTAAGTTGGGTTTGAGAGATTGGAAAATTTGTGAGAGTGAGAAATGGGGTTCAGATGGGAAGGGCATTTCCCTCTTTTATTTTGAGAAATTTGGGAGGGAACGGCAATGGCGGGAACCATCTGAGGTGAGGTGCGCGTCTGTGTGTTTTCGGAGGTTTCTAATTTGGCGCGCTGTGAAAGGTGAAAACTGAAAACTCTGGAGATTTTGGCGCCATGTGACAACGGTTACAGAGTTACAGTAACTTTTGATAGTGCAGAAGGGGGAATTAATTGCCCCGTCCCCATGCTGAGTCAGTATACTAAGCTGTAGTTTTTGACTGATTGATTAATTTAAAATGAATTTGAATGAGTTTTATACCCAAAAAAATAATAAAGTATTCTAATGCTTCACCGAGACGGTACATATGCTTTCTGGAAAAAAAAAATAAAAAAATAAAAAAAAAATCTATAGCGGAGACGTGCTGATCGTGGGTATAACAGTAGGGTATTAGGGATTTTTTTTCTTTTTTAAACGATAGAAACTCTTCATAAGAAGCATCATCCGACATTTATGGTGCTATTTTGATGTAATTCATTGATCCTATGAAGGAAAAGAAAATATACTAAGGGTCTGTTTGGTTGGAAGTAAAATGTTTTCCTTGGGAAAATATTTTCCGTGGAAGTAATTTTCCATGAAAATCATTTCCCTTTCATCATTTTCAGGTGTTTGGTTAGCTTATTGAAAATATTTTCTTACTTCATTTTTTTGGTGTTTGTTTAACTTTTGAAATATTTTCACTTTTATCTCTATTTTTACTTTATACACATTATAACTACATACTTCTTCCCATGCAAAATAAGAAAATTTATCTTATTGTTTAACTTTAAAAAATCTTGGAGAAATGTATATATGAATAAAAAATATCTCCTTAAGCAATAAACAAATTGCTGGCCATTTAGTGTCAAATATCAATCACATGCAATGCTTATTGTGACATATATCTTACACTCTCACTGCTGAAAGTTTCTCTAGAAAAGAATGTCCCTATTATATATAATTAATTACTAGCATAGGATGAGCAGGATGAGGTTTTTTTTTTATTTTGAATATACTAGGTGGAGGGTTGGGTTGGGTTGGGTTGGGTGGTACGGGGGAGGGAGTGTAAGGAAGAGGTCTTGGGTTCGAATCCTCCTATTTACACTAAAAAAAAAAAGAGCGAATTGCGCGAAATGTCACTAAACTATTTCAAAGTACCGGTTTTGGTCACTAAACTTTTTTATTAGCGCGAAATGTCACTGAACTAGTAAATCTGTACCGTTTTGGTCACTCCGTGTATTTGTGCCGTCAGGAGAGACGGAAATCAACTTTTTGAGGGGCAAATTCGTCTGCACAGTCTTTTCCTTGAAACTCTCCACCATAAATCACTCTCAAATGTCAGACAACTCGTAAGTTCAATTAGGAAGTGCAAACCCTTATCCTGTAATAGATTTCTTCTGCAAATATGGAGTAGGAGGGACAATATACGAAGTTGCAATTTGCTGGGAATGTGTTGAAGCTTCATTGGAGGAATACCTAAGAAAAGAACTCCGACTTGCAATTTGCTGGGAATGTGTTGAAGCTTCATGAGAGGAAAAGGCAAGGAAACAACTCCGACCTGCTCTTGTGGCAGTAAAACCAATTTGAAGACTTCATGGACTGATAGGAACCCGGCAAGGAGATATGTTGAATGTGCTAATGGCAAGGTAAGTGTGTGAAGATATAGGAAATTCGTTAAATTAGGTTAATGTTTAATTGTTTAGACATTTATCGGCTAAAAAGAATTTGGATAATTTTTTTGTAGGTTGATGGCTGTGGTTATTGGAATTGGTATGATGAAGAAATGTGTGAGCGTTCGAAACAAGTCATACCCGGTCTTTTAAGAAGAATAAATAGGGTGGAAACCGAGAATGAAACTTTGCGGCAACAAATTCTCAAGTTGCAAAAGAAAGCTGAGAAAATGGAGGATAAAGTAAAAAATCTGAAGGAGAAGCTTGGAAGAAAGAAAGTGAAAAAAATGGTCATTGTTCTTTTTGTTATGGCCTGGACAATTGTCAATGCATCAATGTGGATTTGGGGGCCTAACAAGGGACAGAAGTTTGGAAGGCTGCAAATTGATGGCTACTAGAGTATTGTTGTACTTCAAATCCTAAACCAGTGTTGCTCAATGTTTTAATACACAGCTCGTTTTTGTTGAGATTGTAGTGTTTTTATTACACCTCATTTTGGTTGGTGTTGTTTACACCATGGATGTTTGAAATTGTAATTTATGAATAAAAGACTGAAGTATTAGTTCCAACATATGGGTGGTGCAAAAGAAAAGTAGCTCACAAATGCAGAAAACATAAAGTCAAATACAACAAAAGAGATAATTATCATTATCATTCCAAACAGCTGCTTTACAAAAGAGATAATTGTCACTGTCATTCCAAACAACTGCCAACAAAGTTAGCCATGTTTCACATATAAATAATTTGGAATTGTCCTAGACATAGAATACATCCAAACAAAAGCTATGCAAACAAGTCCTTTAATCTGATCTTCCACTTCTACTTCTACTGCTCCTTGATGTTCCAGCCCATCTACCAATCTTGAATGGAGGCTCTTTGCCCAAGTACTCATAGTTGGTGTTGATCCTTATCTTGTCAATTTCAGACAGCTTTCTCTTTGAATGGAGAGACTGTTTGTTGGCCGCTGTAGTAGACTGGTCGGTATCATTGACAGGCCTAACTCTCCTCACCTGTACACAAGTACAATAAATATTAACAATAGCTATTTACCATAGTAAAATTAAAAATAAAATTAGAAATAAATTTTTGCACCTACATGTGTCTTAGTCTTTCTAATCTGCTGCTTTTTCGTACTACTACTGGCAGCTTGTGCATTACGTTCAGCATGTGAACCAATGTCATTATGGGAAGTAGTTTGCTCTTCAGCTCCATGTGGCTGAGAATTGACACAACTTGAAGAATATCCTTGAACTTCCACATGAGCAAAATCAGGCTCCTGAGAATTAGCTCCATGTGTTGTGCTTGAGCCATTGTTGGTGCCCTTTGACTTTCTAGCATGTTTAGGAGTTGGAGCAGGTTGACTGCAGCCTTCACCTCCATTATTTTCTGGAACACTTTTGCAGGTAGCAGCATTGTGGCCTGCCTGACCACATCTTCTACAGTGCATGATCACATGCTTTTTAAATTTTTGCACATTATTCGTTCCCACATGAACACCACTTCTATTTTCAGAACTACCTTTTCTTCTTGCTTTCTTGGGCCTACCAGGTTGGACACATGCAAGTGGAGGATCTAATATGGGAATATCACTCTGAGGCCATAGAGACTTTCCACTAATTGGATATAGTACATTCTCATATATTTGAAAGAATAGATCTCTACTATAACACTGATCGGCATAGTCATTTGGGTTCCTACCAATTTTTAAAATGGCAGAAATTGCATGGCAGCAGGGGAGCCCACTAATTTGCCACAACCTGCATGTACAGGTTCTGTCTCTTAAGTACACAGCAAATTGTTCCCCCTTAGGTCCCCTAACCTGATATCCCCCCTTCCCATTTGATATTGGCTTCCACTTTCTAGAAAACTTTTCCCTCTCCTCAATCAAAGTCTTTATTGCTGGTCCCACAGGACCACTACATTTTCTCATCCAACATACTCTATTTGATATCCTTTCCATCACGAATTCTCTAATCCACTCAACCATCCCAATCACTGGCAACTCTCTAGCATTTAATATATGAGAATTAAATGTCTCTGATAAATTATTAACCAGCATGTCAGATTTCACGTGAAGTGGAAAAAAAGCCTTACACCAGTGATGAGGTGGTGCAGCTCTCTTGACCCACGCGTGAGCTTGCTGGTCATATGCTCTAAGCTCTTCCAAAACTGCCTCATAGAACTCCACTGTTGATGCTGCTGCAATGCTCCAGAATTTTTCTTTAAGCACTTCACCAGGGTGCTTTTTCTTGAAATTTTTGTACATATGTTGTACACAATATCTATGGCCAGCTTCTGGTAATAACTCCAGCAGTGCACTATCAAGACCCTATAAAAGAGTTCTAAGTTTAGTCACTTGCAAAAATTATCCTATACAATACATGCTATAAGGATAAAGAACAGTACTCCTAACCTTCTGTTGGTCTGAAATAAAAGTGTATTCACTGCTAGTTGCTGGTATTTCTAGATCACCAATCAGTAAACTCAAAAACCAAAGCCATTGTTCCCGAGCCTCCTTCTCAACAACTGCCCAAGCTAATGGCCACCAACCATTATTTGGATCTGCCCCAATAGCAATCAACAACTGCCCTGGATATGCCCCCTTAGTGTGACAGCCATCAAGAGCAATAAGGGGCCTACATCCCTCTCTAAATCCCTTTTTCATTGGTCCCAAACAGCAGTAAAATCTCATGAATCTGTGATTACTTTCAGGATCAGCTCTTGGTGAATACTTGATGTCTATGGTGGTGTCAGGGTGAGTTTTTTGTAGTTCTGCTGCATACCTCCCAACATCAATATACTGCTGAGATGCTGACCCTTTGATAGCAGCCTTAGCCATTGCAAGTGCTTTGTAACCTTTGTTTCTTGTGATCTCGCAACTATATTGCTCATCTATACTCTGTAACAATTGCCTAACAGGCATGTTCATGTTGGATCTAACAGACTCTTCAAACTTGTCTGCTACCCAATTGGATGTCATGTTTTTGTTTCTCCAAGCATGGCTGCAATTGGTGTGGACATCGTAAATTGTTTTAACTACAAAGTCTTCAGTACCCAAAGCAGGAACGTGGCTAGCATAAATGTACCACTTACACGGATCTGCACATTTAGGTCTCATTCTTGTTTTGTCACTTGTATACATGTATACAGGTCTTCCACTTATAATTGCATAATTTCTGAGAGCATCTCTGAACTGTTTTTTGGTTCCAAATTTTTGTCCAACATGAAAATGGGGATCTGTTCCATCTCTGCTAGCATTGAAACTAGTGTATCTCACAGGAACATCTTCATCTTCTGAATCTGGATCACTATTTAATTCCCCTTCCACAATATCATCCAATAGTGGGTTGTGTTCAGCTTCAGTTTCAGGACCAGCTTCTGTTTCAGCTTCAGTTGCTGCACCTTCTCTATTTTCACATGCTTCAGCTTCAGTTGCTGCCCCAGTTTCTGTTACAGGTTCAGTTGCTGCACCTTCTCTATTTTCACATGCTTCAGCTTCAGTTGCTGCCCCAGTTTCTGTTACAGGTTCAGTTGCTGCACCTTCATTTGTTGCACCTTCACCTACTGCACCTCCATTTGATGCACCTTGACCTGCTGCCCCTCCATTTGATGCACCTTCAGTTGCAGCACCATTATTTGATACACCTTCATTTGCTACACCTCCTTTTCTAACTCTTTTTGTAGCACCACAAACGGCCTCCGACGTACGAGATTTTCTCCTATCTCTGTTTCTTCTATTCCTGGAACTGTCATTGTCCCTCCTATTCTGACTTGATGGAGTTGGGTCATTATCAACTTGGCTATGCATTTGTGGCTCGGACTCCTGTGTATTGTTGTTGGCCTGTTCACATCTCCTAGAAGAATTTTGGTATGCATCTTCATCTTCACCAGCATGGTCATGTGTCCACTCTAAAGCTGCAACTGATCTACTAGCTTGGACTCCTTTTCGTTGTCTACGAGGTATTGCTGCCTGTTGTGTAAGAATTTCACCATCATCCAAGATCTCCTCTATTACCACTGAACTCTTTGTCTGTGATAACTGTTCCAATTCCTTTTTCTTCTTCCACTCATATATTTCCTCAACTGTTAAATGATGACAGTATACTTCCATCAATTTGTACTCATTAACCCAACCACAGAATTGCATAATGTCTTCATCCGTTTGAAGTTCCATCAGTCCATGGTTCAAATCCCCTCTAGGGTCAATGTAATAATATAACATAGTATCGTTGTGCCCACACTTTTCCACCATTTTATTTATTTCATGAATCGACATAAAATCAGCATGGCAAAGATCGAAATAATCAATCTCTCCACCCACATAACTCTTGTATTTCTCTCCCTCAATTTTACCGTCGTGGTGGAGTTTAATCGAAAATGCAGGTATATCAGGAACTGCAACAACAACGACAAAGGCAAACAACATGATTCTTGTTAATCACCATTTTTTATTGTTATACATGCTATTCTTCTTATAAAAATACTTAACCCCCATTTGTTAATTAATCCGAATCAGACAACTGCATTTTGAAAAGTTTATTTTTTTCATTAAATTACAAGATAGAGGGTTCTTGTAGGACCCCTTGCAACCCACTTATACGACAAAAAGCGAAGTCAATCGTTCTTATGTCATTTTCTAAACAACTGGATCACTTCAGCAAACCCTAAACCCAATAAAAACTCTCACTAAATACTTCTTTATACTCAAAACACAAACAACACCATTAATCAAGCAAAATGTGTACGGATTGTAATATTTCTTACCGTATAATGTGTACGGATCAATGAATTCATCCCTTTGCCTTTTCACCCATTTCCCTGCCATCGATGATCGATTCTTCACAGCTAATCTTCGTCTTTTGCCGGTTCTTTGAGTCTTGTCACTGATTACTGTGAGAAGAATGGATCAATTTTGATACTTTTCACTGTCATTGTCCACATTCCCAAAAATTTTACCAACATCCCAAAGCCCCACAGTTAAACCTTTCACTTACCAGATGAAACTCTTCCCACTAAGGCTGTGCAGACGAATTTGCCCCTCAAAAAGTAGATTTCCGTCTCTCCTGACGGCACAAATACACGGAGTGACCAAAACGGTACATATTTACTAGTTCAGTGACATTTCGCGCTAATAAAAAAGTTTAGTGACCAAAACCGGCACTTTGAAATAGTTTAGTGACATTTCGCGCAATTCGCTCAAAAAAAAAAGAACATACTACAAGATGTTTTCAGTAAGTTTGGAACTACTACAGACGGGATGCATGCATTTCGGAAAACAACTTCAGTAAGTTTGAAAGGGAAGTTGTTTTCCATAAGATGAGGGAAAATATTTTACATAGGAAAATGTTTTCAGTAACTTTTGTGCAACCAAACACGGGAAATTAGGAAAATATTTTTCCGGAAAACATTTTCACCTGAAACAAACGGACCCTAAGAGAAAACTAGACTGAAGAAATGGAAAGGGAAAACGTCCGGAGAAGAAAACAGAAAAGAAGGTAAAAAGGGGATATGACGCCTTGAAACCCTCGAGTTAACCATAGAATGCACCATCTAAGGAGACAAAACACACATTGATATATTAGTGGTACCAATCCTAAGTGCTAAACAGGGAGCATAGAATTATGGAACAGGCTAGGCAAGTGAGTTTTTGTGCCAGTTTCTTTCTGTTAGCATCATTAACCAAATACAGCAAGGAAAGGATGCCGACAATGGATGAAGCTCCCACAATCCAGGCAGCCCAGCAATCCAAACAAACGTGTCCAGGGTGGAAAGAAACTGATCAAAACAAACTTGCATCATTTGAATGTATCTAAGCCGAAGACATAATATGCGGTGCTTGATTGTGTTTCTTCTCCAACAATAACAGCAGTCTAGTAAATTTTTGCTCCTCTCTTCAATGAAAAGATCACTGACGAAATCAGTGCGTCAAATTGCTAAGCAGCAACCATCACGGATCGTGAAATGGAGCGGTAACTGATGGACAACCTCCAAAGCACACGAAAGAATTTGGAATTCATGCATACTTTTGCATGCTTGAGGGTTCCTGCATTTGAGGAACTTGAAGATGAAAAAGAAGGTCACATTAACCAAGTTCGGTGCCCCCGTGGATTAATCACCAGAGCTGCTCTCTTGCAACAGCTGCCAACACCAGGAAACAGATTACACTTCTGCAGTAGAACGGAAATGTCAAATAAAAAATTAAAACGGATGTAAGACGAGAAAATCCAATATGAAATACCAGGGCACCAATTTGCTCATATGCTTCCATCACTTTAGGATGTCCTTCATCTTCATAACCTACTTGCAGTATTCGAGGTCCATTAACTGACCAAAATGCTCTTCGACCTGCCTCCTGAAATATTGGAAAGATTGCCATTATCAAACAAGTTTTGTATTAGAGGGTCCAAAAACTTGAAAGAAATCACCATTTATCATTAACGAGGAACTTTACGTACATCACTGCCTGCAAGTATCATGATAGGAAAAGAACTGATCCATTTTTGAGTGCACGTCCACTCTTTCCAATAGTGGGTACAAACTACTTGAAGTAGACTTCTCAATAAATTTTTGACTGAACTTATTGAACGAGTAATTCATATTCCTGTATGAGACAAGAGACAAGTAGATGCCAATCTCACCTGCAATACCAGCAGGTAAATGGCCTCAAGTGCTTGGACACGTATGTCAGGATCAGCAACTGGCTCGCGCTCAATTGAAAGTGCACTTGCAAGCTCGAGTGGCATTTTAGAGGCATCTTGCTCACTATATATCTATTGCAAGGCAATTAATCCATGAGACAGAGAGTCAAATACTAGGCAATTAAAGGAATGTGTGGGAAGGAGAAGAAAAGTTCAGGACTAGGCAAATACAGGAATGTGTGGGAAAAGGAGAAGAAAAGTCCAGGAGAAGCTAGCTGAAAACACTTGATTCAAGTTGATTTTTTTTTTAAATGGAGGTGAAAAAGAACCTATACTAATGAAAATGAAATTCCATTTGTTTAAGCAATCTGTCAGCAAATCGGTAGCAACCAAATTGAACCACAAAATTGGCAAAACTGCAACATAACCTTGTTTCCAGCAACTGGCAGGAGTAGAGCTGGCCACAGAAATTCTGAGATCAAAAGAAGATTCTGCAGCTGGCTTTCAGCTTCAAAACAGCAATTACGGATGGTTCCTGAGACCTGAGTAGCAAAGCAAAATGAAGGAACAAAATGTTTTAAAGAAGAAAGATATCGACTTTGTCAGGGATTTATATACCCCTTTCTTCCGCAATGGGCTAACTGAATCAAACTGCCTAATGATTTGCTTCAAAAGTCCCCTCCTTGGATCCAACAGAAGCTTCCTTCCGGCTTCTTTCTTTGAAATGTTCACAAGAACAGATGCCACATGTTCAAATGGATCACCTGAAAGTAAGCAAAGATAATAAATTCTGGTGGTAGTACAGAAAAAGAGCAAAAATCAGAAAGAGAAGCTATATACTGTACCTCTTCTCTCACTGGATGACGTACAGAATGATCTGACAAGCTTCATGATATAAAGGCCTTTCATTTTCTCATCCCCAGACTGACAACCAGACACAGAATTTAAAATAATAATGAGCACTGTCCAAACTAGGCTTACAAAACATACTAGATCAAAAGAAAAGTAGAATTTGAACCACCAACGAGCATTAAAATTCATATATAGAATTAGAGCTTTTAAGTTACATGTGGTTTTCAAAACTCAGGGTCTGAGAATTACAAAACTTAACATACTGAAACAGCATCCTGTACTATTTTCTCTGGAAATATTTAGCAACAGTGACTAAGTAGAAATACAAGGGACTAACCTGAAGCAAAGAATCAATACCAGCATCCAACTGTGTAAGGTTAACAAGGAGCATAACCAACAATCCAGTAATTTCACAGTTCTCCTTGTATAAAATTTCCATTGCTGTCTCAACAACACCAGTATCCACCATCTTTTTAGCTAAATCTGAATTTTGTGACAAATTTACAAGTGCTTCAGCTGCAGGCTCTGACACCTCCTGAAGCCATAAAGACACAAAAGCAGTATTACATAAATTAGATACAAGGAAAAAACAACGTCTAAATCAAGTTCACCCTCTTCATTCTGGGGTGAAAGATGCAGTAGAGGAGCTTCAAAGAGAATTTATAAACATATCCAACCATATTTAATGTCTGTTCATCCAAATCAAATAAGAACATGAAATATGGGCCTAAAACAAGATACTTTGTAACAAAACAGGCTGCTGCAGAATGATTGGTAGCCATCTTATCTGAGCATAATTCTATAATTAGTGATGAAAATCTCACTAAAATCATAAAATGCTGCGTGCAGAGGTTATTAGGGAAAAAATAGACCATCCTATGGGCTATCTTAAATTTTTGTACCCTTTTTCTCCTCTTTCTTTCAGCACTTTTTCTCTTTTACGTTCCCCATCCGTTTTATCGACAAACAGTAAGATAGAAGTATAACACGATGGAAGCAAATGGAGCATAAGAGACACTGAACACAGAAATCAACCTTCTTTTCAGCCAGAAGGCGAGAAAGAGATGGAAGAAGAACGCCGCAACACTTTCCAAGCATTTGCAAGCCATCCTCCGATCCTGTATAATCCCGAATAATGTCAACTGCTGCTTTTTTTACCTAAACATATAATCAAAATCATTAAATGGACATAATCAACTTTGAATAGGTAATACAAGTTCAATCAATTGAAAAAAATACAAGCTCAATCAATTTTTTAAAAAAAATTCATAGTATTCCAACTAAACAAGAAGGGATTAGATTCTCAATTCTCTAGCCTTTCTTCAAAAATTAAGTAGTGATTACGAGAACATTAATAGTTTGGGAGTTCAGATTTCAAAGGAATAGAAAAGAAAGGAAGGGAAAGGTGGACTTTTCACGTTTGGGAGATTTAAGTGAGACGGAAAAGAAAAGAAACGAACGGATCTTGAAGAGAAGCCAAGCGCTGCTACAGTGCAAAATTTTTCTGACCAAAACGGGCGGAAAGCGAAGGAAAACTGATGGAAGCTTACAAATTTTTTTTTTATCCTTTCTTTTCTCACATAACTTACCCTTTCTCTTCTTTTCTTTTCTATCCTCAACTCACAAACTAGCTAAAGTCCGTAGTCAAGAAACTCGATTTTTGAGTAAAAATCAGGGGATTCAACTCTGGTGCAGCAGTTAAAGAAATTAGCAGTGACTACCAGAACATAACCAGGACCCAAATTTAAAAATGAATCTTCATCAAAACAAGAAAAAGCTTAAATTTCAAACATAAGATAGGTTAACTAGCATCGATTAAAGGGATATGAATTAAGAACCCTCAGTCAAATTATTTCAAGTCATCTATGCCGAAACAAGCTTATATTAAATAAGACTTACAGGTGGAGAAGGGGATGAAAGGAAGCCCAGCAGTTCTTCCAGCTCTGCCGCCATTTCTGTGGAAGCCTTTTAACTAACTATTTTACCAGCTCTTGTCCTGAACAAACCTATTTCTGGGTTTTATTAGCCTATTGTCACGAAGTTGCGGCTTTTTTAAATTTTTTTTAATTACGCAGAAAATAAGGGGTTAGCTGCGGTTGAGCGCTGTGCTGTAGAATGAAGGCGTGACATGAGAAACGCGCCTCCTGTCATCTGATTCTGAGCAGAGAAAGGCGCGGTTCTAGTAACTACATTTTGACAGAAATTGAAAACAACACGTCACTATATTTATTTATATTTGAAGCATCCATATATGTTGTATTTAGGAGTAATCAGAATTAAAAAAGATGTGGACAATTGAAGTTGCATGTATTTGTGACTCAAGTTAAAAAACTGAAGCTGCATCTTACGTTTTTACTAACCCAAATAAAATTACATCTTAAATGTATGATATAGAAGTAATATTCAAAAAAGAATTCTAATTATATAAAGTGATGACTAGGCGTACAAATTACCCATCCTATAATATCCTGTTTCTACCGCAACAATTAGAAATGTTACACAAATTAGCACAAAGTCTAGTTAATCGCGACTTCAGTGGATCCTCATGTCTTGAACCAATAAGTGGTCTATTTTTTTTTTTTTACTTCGCGCACCAACCCCCCCCCCCCCCTCCCCGGCGCATCTCTTTCCCAGTAAAAATGTAAATCTGTCCTTATTTTTTTCAATAATCAAAATTACTGGAAAGCACGCAACAAAGTTAGATTAATACTTAGAGGTAATCAAAATTCTGGTGCAAAGTACAATCTAAAGTGAAGCCCACAAACCAACACCATCCAGCCAATTGGTAACTGGAAGCGTGGTGTGGGATGTTCCATATGCTGATCACTGTACCAGGCTCCCCGCCACAAGTTGGAGAGAGAAGATTAATTTTTCAGAGTAGGTGTTTTAATGACATCTTTCTACTTAGGGAAATTTCTATTGGAAAGATAAAAAATTGGAGTTACAGAGCAGACATGTTTTGGGGCAATGTAGGTCTTTAGCTTGTGTCTCCTCTTTTCACCCTTTTCCTACAACACCTTTGCATAATGAGAGCTCAAATAGATACAAGAAACTTTTAACCATCATGTTCAACCTTTTTTTTTTCATTTTTCTTTTACTTTTAAGATTTTTTTTTTTGGAAAACTTTTTACTTCTAAGATTATTAGGGATTCGCATAGTCGGGCTAAATTGGTGGTGGGTGACTAATTCTTTTGTTCATTGATGAAAAAAGAAAAAATTGTACAAATGTTGTCTGATAGGAGAATCTTCTACAACTCTACCTGCCGTGCTTACTAAGCACGGTTAAAAAAATTGGGTTGCTGCGATGACTAAACTCGGCATCCTATTGGGATTTTTTTTGAAAGAAAAAAATCTGATGGCAAAAAAGAGTGTATTATTAGGCAAGCATGTGATTTCCCTATTATTTAGACACCTGATAGTGAATAACTTAAAAAGTTTCAAAGATTCTTTGTTTTGATCTTGCTGATAGATAAGTTAGTCAGCAAAAGAAAATCTAAAGGCAATGAGTGAAAAAGACTGGGGGTAGATTTTTTTCATTTGTGTAATCTGTTTCTTGGTAAAACTCAGATTATGAAATTTTTGAATTAAGAATATTGCAGTATGACACTATGACTCGTTTTTCGTATGACCCCAATAGTGAATTAATTAGGCAAGAATGTGAATGCTTTTATACCGCTTTTCTTATTTAAAAATAAATGAGAAAATACTTGTGAAATACTGGCCGTTTAAATTCTATAGTAAAACAAGCAACTTAAAAATTATTGTTTGAGGAAGATCCCTAAAAGGATTTTTAAAAAAATTTACAGTTGTCTCTGTCCTTTCCCAACCCCTTCCAGGTTCCCAACCCCTTCAACACTGAAATGTTGCCGTTTCAATTTCAGTGTGCAGTGTTTCAATTCAAACACTTCATTTCTCACAATGTTTCGATAAATTTCATTGCCAAAATTGTGCAACACCATTGCTGGCCAATTAATGAATTTGAGTGGTTACTATACCAATTTAAGCATTTGTCTCGTTTAAACTGTTCTGTTGGATTACTATGTGGCGGTAGGGCTTGGATAAGCTGTTCTATTTTCTGGTTAGCATTTCAAAATGTACATAGTTAAAGCAACTAATCCAACCTGTTCCCTAATTTATCTATCGTGTTTCTAATAATCTCTAATTGGCCCTACCTCAATTTTTTGCTTCCCTCCGCCGTGTCCATTGGCCTTAAACTTCCCTTGAACAATTCCATTTCGTACTAGAAACACTAAATTGCAGACACGTAATATTATAAAACTAGTTGAAGATCTCTAATTTTATTGGAAACATGATGTCATGAAGTAAAAAGAATGGAAAATTATGAGCAGACCGAATCCAAGCACGAAGTCAACCTAGACCCAGTACGTTTTTCTTCTCCAAGATGAACAATAGTTCCATTTATCGGGATCCGTTTTATCTAAATTTAAAACAGGCCGAATATGGATCTACATGTTCGGACTTGTTTTGGTCCCGGATTTGATCTAATATAGATATTTTAATATAAAAATAATATAATCATTAAAATTTGTTACTAACCAATTTATTTCCTATTAAAATATTTATTAAAAATCAAATAATTGTTAGAATTATTCTCATCGTATTGTTAATATTGTGTTGATAAATTAAAATTTAAAATTATCGATAAAATTAATTATTGATTAAATTTTAAAAACTACTGGGATACGGCTTGGACCAGGCCCCGATCCAAAGCTACATATTGAGACCTATTGGGTACGGACCATTTTATTACTTACATACCGGAGATTTTTGTAATGATGCTTTCTGTTCAGCGCTGGCACTTTCCTGGGGAAGAAATGGAACAGGTAGGAATAAGATTTGTTCTAGGGCGGAGTTTACTCAGCTAGGCACACACTTGGATAGCAGCTGCGGTTCCTTATAAAAAAAAAAAAAATTCGTTCTAGCAAAAAAAAATTAAAGAAAAAGGTGATACATTTGGCTTGGTTTTATCTGTTGAATTTACGTCTTCTTTTTTTTTTTTTTTTCTTAAGCAAATTTTGATGCTGTTGTTTTAGGCCGTATGTGAACGGTAACGGCAGCAATGGCAACCGTAATTTCTTCTGATGACAGGACTGCTGGAGTTCGTGCGTGCATTTTAGCTAGCTTTTAGTCAAGAGGTCTAAGTTTAACCGTATATTTGCACCTTTCCGTTTTTTTCCTGCTAATACTTTATAATCCAAATGTGAGATAAATTCACAGCAGCAGCAAGTCACCAGCCACATGTGGATGCTCCTAAGATGTGATTTTAAGGGTCCGAGATTTTGTTTCCATATAAGATATCCATCACCCGGATGCAAAGCATGCAACCATCCAATTTAACGAGTGACGTCAACTGCACTGGCAGGATGTGCACGTCTAAACAATGATGGAAAGAAGGCACCCGGGAAAGAATGCACGCCTAAACAAAGGGTATTAACAAGACGAAATCTCAATCAATGTCAAGAAAGATCGCATGCAAGTTAAAATGAACATTTGCAAACTGTAATTTGGGGTAAAACCCAACCTGACCCAAGAGAACAAGGAATACACCAAACTAGCTTGCTCACGCAAGATACCGATACAATCTTCTATCTGAACTATCCCTCTCCAAAAAATCACGCTCAATGAGGGATTCAATTCGTTTCTTTATTTCTCCAGGATTGGCCAGAAAACGAGATTGCAACTGCTTGGTCACCTCTGCAATAATGTTGTTATGATCCAACACCCTCCGAGATTTCATGATCCTAACTATAGCAGCCTCAATCTGGGGCTTCCTGTCCTCTTCAACCCTCTGACGTGTCTCCTGTTTTTCAGGCTCAGATTCCTTCTGTGCAACTACAGTTCCTATCTTCACCTTGTAAAACTTGCTTGTAAACTTATCATTCACAAAAAAAGCATCTTCTTCTCCAATATCTTTGCTCATTGGCTCTTTCCGAAGAACATTCTTCCCCTTGACACATGCCAGGGACTGCAAGCATCTTCTCAAGTCAGATGAAGGAATCTCAGTCGCCTGCTCAATTTCCTTGTAGCTGAGCCTATCAGCACTGTTAAATAGCATGAGGACGCACATCTGGTAAGTGGACACATTCAGCTCATGCTTTTGCCCTTTTCCAAAGATTGCTTTCAGATCAGCAGTCCCCATGTTTGTTTGCCAGGAGAGCCTCCGACCTGTATGTGTCCCAAGATAATATGAACGGAACTTTTCACAAAGAGCAGACATTTCAGCGGGCAGATTGCAAGTGATACTAGGTTGTGTCGGCCAGGACCCTGTTGTCAGAACCTGGACAACCAGTGTGGGACTATCGCCTAACTCAGCAGCATACGCAGCATAAAACCCTTGCATAGTATCCTGAGATGTTTTCATGTCAGTGAACATACCCTCTAATTTTGACGTAAACTGATACCCACATTCCGTCTTCAACTTGACTATCAGACTTCTCTCAGCATCATCAGAAACTGTTTTTCCTGATAGAAGTCGTTTTGCCAAATGCTGTTTGTAGTATTTCTCAAAGACATCCTTCTCCTGCAAATACCGGAAAAGCATCATAACCTTGTCAAGAATAGTCTCAACATCTTCCTCACTGACTCCCTTCAGACCTTTCCGCAGTTTCTCGTCCACAAACAAAGAAATGAACTCCGGAGAACGAGGATTAAGATTAATGAAGTACTCAAAGGAGGAGTTCAAGGCATTCTGGAAAGTTTTGTCATTGCTAAAAGCTAAATTTATGATTTTATCATACTTATCTTTCTCATTCAAGAGGCACTGGACAAATTCGACAGGATCCTTCAACTTCTCAGCATCAGTAACAAGCTGCTTACCAGTTTCTCTTAAATGTGAAGTCATAACATCTCTTATTGTTGGAAGACCATTAGGGACCCGGCGGAATAAGTTGTACATCCTCCCCAAATCCTCATACTTGTCATCAATTAGCATATTCACCAAGCCTGAATTATCCATGTGAACTAGTCGAAGCATGTGGCTCGCAATCATCTCCTTCTCCACGACATTGGTAATCTTAGTTTCACTCTTTGAATCCAAGTACAGTGAGACCCTCTCGATCTCTTCATTTAGACGTCTTTCAGCTTTCTTAAGATAGTCTCCACAATCACAACATTCGATGAAATCCTGTGATTCTGCCCTGTAAAAATCAGCTGAAACTTCAAGAAAATGTTTCTCAAAGTCTTCTTGATACACTGAAGATCCCAAGTCCATTAGCATCTTAATTATATTTCTCATCAGCCCCCTGTTAATGATTTCACCAGTCCTTTCTTTTTGTATGAGTTCAAGAAGCGTATCCAGAAGCCTAGTCTGTATCTTACTTGAATGTATCACATTGTCCCTCCAGAGATTTAGCCCAAGCTCATGAACAGGAGTTTTACGATTACTGGGAATGAAAGTCCGGTCCATGTACATCAATATGTCACGGATCATCTGCAATGCCTTGTTATGATCATTCCATTTTCTGTTAAGCTCTTCCAGGAACAAATTACCTTGGGCCGCCTCTATGGTTTTTGCCATCTCTTGTAGGTGAAGAGTCATTGTCCCTACAAGGCCTGAGTACAGCTTCTCACCAAATTTATGCAACACCATGTTGTAAGCATTTCTGGAGTAATGCAAATTAGACATCAGATATAAAAAAGAATTTACCATACAACAAAACATTTATACCGATGGGCTAAACAAAGACTTCTCAACATGTGAAATGCAACTGACAAGAAACAAAAATTATATACAAAAAGCTAATAAAAACCAATCATAGGATCTCTAGATCTGTAAGTCTAGGAGTACTGAAATTTCCCGTGGTCAACGTTGACATCAAATATTATTACTGTGGCGAGGTACACAAACTCCTATGCAAAACAGTTGTGTAACATTTTAACCATTAAGTCATCCCAAATTAAGCTTTTCATATACAGGACCCTGTCTACTTCCATGCAAAATAATGGGGAAAAAGTTCTTGAATCCTAACAACTTAGAGAAGCTAAAAGTTGATTACATATGCATTTGGGTACTTCCACAGGATGACCATATCCACCTACTAAGATTTTAAACAGATGGTTATTTGTCCTTTTCTGATTTCTTTGAGTAGAGTAACAACATCAGCTTGCAACTTCCTTCCCAAAAAAAAAAGGAAACAAAAATTCACTTCTTAAGGTTAAACAACATAAATAATAAGGAAACCTAATACATTTATTCCAAGGATATAAGTATGTAATGCCACAGGAGTATAAACATTTCCCACAGTGAGCACTCAAAGACGGAACTTGCCAAAAACAACCAGTGTCAAAATCAGCTAAGTAGCCAGCGAGTACTAGCGCTACTTCAGATTTCTCTAAACCACATAAGGCCTAGAAATAGTGAAGATTTGATCCTGTTATGTAGAACCGTCAAAAATAATCATAGCAAACAATCATTGTCTGTCAATGCAATGAGAAGGCAGATCACATAGGCTGCACTTGAATTTAATTAGGACACCACATGTCATTCTTACATGTGACAGCTGAAGCTCGATATACACCAAAATAGATGGCAAATGTGACCTTGCAGAAAGGCATTCCACCTCACTGATAGCTCCCAACAATCACACCAATACTATGAAAGCACAAAAAAAAAAAGGTAGGAGTGGCTAAAGCAAATCAATGATTTGAATGAAAACCCCTAGAATCTAGGAAGTTCATTGTCCTCATGTAAAATGACAAAGTACCACAAAATCCATGGTAATAGTATTGATAATTGCATTCATTTTAACTTTTGGTAATGAGATTGACACAAAAACAAGAACTACTCTCTTCATAATTCCGCAGAAAAGGTGTCCATCAAATGACTAAACCCAATGATTAACTTCCACAACCGAATCAAATATTTCTTATCAAATATTCATCTCTACTAATTAACTGACAAACCAATGATATAAACACAACATGGTCGTTGAGGAAAGCATGTCATTTTGCTTGTTGTCCATAAAGGAATGTACCAAGCTGTCAGAAGAGAGAGCCAGAAGTCATGCTGCAGTAGCCTTTCCTTCCCGTTTACATGTCAGTGAAATTAAGAGTCAAAGAGGGAGAAATCAAATTCCAAATCCCCCAGAAACCATGCACCAAACCGAGTAACTATCAACTTATCCCATAAAAAAAAATTGAAAACTCGCATTTCCAGCAAATACCTAGACTGCAGTAATAACTAACCGCCCCCCCCCCAAGTTTTATCTCCATTTACAAACTCAGTCCAGTCCAGCTAACACTAAGCAACAAAAAATTTTCCGCCACAAAGAAAAAAATAAACACGCACAACAAAAACTCAGATTAAATTAACAAATCATCATACAAGATAAAATTAATACCCAAATTCAACTGCACTTCAATCAGTGTATAACAGAGGCAAATATCACCTAGATTAAAACAGACAAACTGAACAAATTCTAAGAAAATCAGAAAAAATGAAAAAGAGATAAACCTATAAAGCTCTTCGAAGCTGAGGCCACTGGCGTTATGGTTGTAAATCTCGGTAATTGCATGCTCCAGAATCTTCCAAGTCTTGTCAGCGTATTTCGGATCCACCACCACTTTATGCTTGAACGCCTCTATCTGGAAATTCCTCTTCTTCTGATTACTACTATTCATCTTTCCCCAACCTAATTGAAATCCCTCTGCCTCTCTCAATCTAATATCTATACACTTATATACAGATACCTATGGAAAATAAAAAACGGAAAAAAAAAAAAGAATCGAATCGAAGTTGAAAAAATTCAGAATCGAAAAGAAAAGAAAAGAAGGATTTTAGGTCGTTCGTTCTATGGGATTAAACAGATCGAACGGCTGAGAAAAGTTCTGATATATAAATTTGGAGATTATTATTTTGGTGAGGGAAAAGGAATTTTCTGGGGTTTGGGAACTGAAATGGGGAGAAGCGGAGGAGGGGAAAGAATTTGGGGCCAAAAAACCGAAGGGAGAAAACTCGAAAACCTTTGGATGAAGTGGATTTATTATTGTTTGGGGAGTGGGTCCTTGCTCGGGGATGAGATTTGGGAAGGAAAGGAAACGAAGAAAGGAGGCGAAGAATCTTTTTTAACTTACTGGATGCAATTTGTCTCTCTCCGAGGAAAGAAAATGAAAAAAGGAAGAAAATAACAAAAGAGGGAATTTACACTGGCACAACAAGTAGGGGATTAGAAATCCTATCGTTTCGGGGAAAAAAAACAAGTAGGGAATTAGAAGGATTTAGCAAGGTGACTAAGGCTAGCTACGGTTCAGGTTTGAATCGAACTGAATGCAATGGTTTGTTAAATCAGAATAGGAATAGAATTTTAGAAATTGGAATTTACATCATAATCATAACTAAAAATTTAAGTTTAGATTCATCAAATTTTTAAACCAAACTCAGAATTGGCATTTACAATATGCTCAAGTCGTCTAAAAAAATATATTTGTTTTCTAAACCCATTCGACTGGTTTAAAATTCTATATTAATAGTCAACATTTAATACCAGTAATTCCAATCCGGAGCCAACAACTAGAGTGTTTGGATAGTGTATTATTTGGAATAATTACTGTAGCATTTTTTGTGATGTGATGTATGTGAGATAAAAAGGTAGTTGGAAATATAAAAAGGTGAGTTGAAAAATGTGTCTATGATGCAAGCGAAATATTATTTGGGATAATTGAGGTTCCATTCCACTAGTACGTCTATATCTCATGATTAATCTAAAACTAATCTAATCTAATCAACAATGCACATATTGTTTCGCAAAATTTGTATCATTTTTATCTTTTTCCTTGTACATGATAATAGAATAATTTTTTTTGTTTTTTTAATATTCATTGTCATATTTTTAGAATCAGCTTTTATAACATCAAGTGTTTGAACGTAACTAAAAGAATTGAAACCGTAATTGGATGAAATCGGAATAGTAACTGAAATCGAAAGTTCAAGAATTATAACCGTAACGGTCCTATAAGGGTTGATTTAGATTCCATCTTTCAAAAGATTCAAAATCATCGATTTTTAAAATGGAATTAGTAATTCTAGAATGGCAGTCATGTCTAAAGAGGAGTAAGAAAAATAATTTCTCTTGTTTTTTTCCTTCAAGTTGTCTTGCCTTTTCCGCGTTTGGTGTTTGCTTGCTGGTTTGGGTTTGGTTGGATTGGGAGTTGGAGGAAGGAAAAGAAATGGAGGATAATTTTTCATTGGTATTGTTCGTGGATTTGGTTTTAGTTAATTAAACGGAGAATGTTTGGAGGCCAAACAAAAAGAAACGGTTAAATGAATTTGCGCACATTTAACAAAAGGAGAAGTAGAATTTGTGCACGTCCGTCAGCCGTCTCTGGAGTTTGTGGACTTTGGACTCTTTTTTTTTCATTTGCCATTGTAGCAGACATTATTAATTCATTTTTATTTTTCATACCAAAATGTTTGATATTTGCATCAATATCATTCAAACTGGGCTCAGAGAAAAATTGGGTTGGGTTGAGAACTTGACGTTGTCATCACTAATCAGACCAAACACAGAGGGTAGTGTTTATTCTGGTCGGCAAATTCAGTCGTCCAAGCCCAAACTATGAGCTGACCATTGCTAAAACCCGACCCGTTGACCAGCTCTCCACTTCCACTTCGCTTAACCTGTAAGCTGCCAAGCGCGTCATCCTCAAGCTGACCGCCAGGCTTTTCGGCTCTTCCACGGCTCTCCGCTGTCCTAAGCAGTTGTAGCATATATATAAGAAATCAAAAAATCTACTGGAAAAAGAAGAAGAAGAAGAAACTGAACAACACCAGACTCTTCTTCCACGACATCAATAAATTTCTTATTTCTCCTTCAATCTTCGGTAAAACGGCAATTTTCTTTTCTCGGTCCTCATTTTTCATTTCATTTTCGTCTTTAATTCAAATTTTCCTCTAATTTTCTCCAGCGGCAATTTAAAAAAAGAAATGCCTGAAGATATATCCGCTGAACGTCCATTGTTCGGGGGCGCCATTTCCAGTACTTTCCCTCTCCGCTTCCAGGTTAATTAAGTAATTTCATTTTTTTCGGGGTTTATATTTCTTCTTTTAAATTTTGATTTAACTATCTGTTGAAATATTTTAATTTCTTGCGGGTAAATTGATTTTAGGATGTGAGCAACATTCGGCAAGTACCTGATCATCAGGTTAGTTAAACTAACTCTTTTTTTTTTTTTTTTAAAATAATAAGTAAACAGATTTTGTTCGAACTCTTTTGATTTTGTATTGCGTGAATTATTGAGTTAAAACGGTGTGATTAAAAAGGAGGTATTTGTGGACCCTGCACGAGATGAGAGCTTGATTTTTGAGCTTCTGGACTTTAAGGCTGACGTGGCCGACAATGGAAGTGCCACGTGGTTCCTACAAGACCTTGCCGCTGAACAAAATGCGGAGGGAGCTACGGTAATGGCAAACTCTTTTTTTTTTTTTTGGTGTATTCGCACGCCGCCGGCAGTCTTTTAATTTCCTTTCTGCTTCGTCATTCTGTTGAAAGACTTGCTTCCCAAAGATTTTAAGGATATAAGAGTTGCTGATGCCCTTTTGATGGTATCCTTGGTTTGTTACTGTGATTTCCTTTCGACCATCCACCATTTGTTTCTGTCGGTCCCATTTATTGTATCAGTTGTCTACAAAAATTTCTGAATTTGCTGTTTTTCTCCACGTGGTATTTAATCGTAGTTTAGAAAATTGGCTTACCTGTGGTTGTCTTATACTTTCACCACCATTGGTGGGATGAACTTGTGTTGTGACTTGTGAGTTAAGCTCATTGTGCGGGGGTATGCGTTTCATTGAATCTCCTACAAGGAATCTTCTTCTCTATTGAACTTCTGGGAATTTTTGTCTAGTTTTGACGTATCATATGGATTAAAAATCATGATTTATTGTTAGCTTCATAATGAGAAAATGGTTGTTACTGGGACCTGTAAAATGTCTAATTTCTCTTTGATTCGTGTGTACAGTCATTTCTCAATGTACTTGGGTATGTAGACGTTTATCAAAATTTGTAGGTATGCCTGATAGTTTTTGTTAAGATTGATTAGTTATGCTGGAGTCAGATATATCAGCAACAGTAGCTTTATGATGGTTAATTAGCTTTACTTGTGTTTGTTTAATTTGCTGAATTTTGTTTCTGTATAGAGCATAATAAAACCGTAAACTAAACTTCTATCGTCATATTTCATCCATGAAAAATGCTTTTGGGTGATTCTTTGACAAGCAGAACATAGAAGTTTTCAGTTTTGGCATTGCTCCCTTGACATATTGGGCCTTTTTTAAAATTTCATGAACATCAGATCAGCATTTGACATGAGCATTGGCTGTCAGTTCAACATTATGTTGCGCATTCTTGAAAATGCCATTTTAAGTTTCATGAGTTGCAATGACACCCCATCACCTTGGAAGACAGAAGTAGATGATGGGAAAGTAACTAGACAAGAACCAAATTCATTTGCAGACCAATTAATTCGAGCTTCACCGTGCCAGGCAGAAATTTTCTCACTATTCATTGTTCTTTTAATCATGCAGAATATTATAATTCGGCTCATGAAATAAAAAGCTGATGCTCATTATTCTGTTAACTTCTTGTTTCAGGTGATTGAGCAGTCGGGTGTTTTTCAAGCTGATGGATTGCAGTTTGGAGATATGCCCACTATCATTTCTACTGCTGTTGGCCAAATGGTATGCTCTTCTCCAGATATAATGGATGTGCGTACTCAGTTTACATGCATTTTTCCTTGTTATTTGTCACATACAACTTGAACAGTATTGAATGGTATGCTGGCACAGGCTTCTCAGCTCAAGTTTAAATCAAGTATCTGGAGTGAAAATGTGTGCGGACCAACTCCTTATGTTTGTTTACTCTCTCATTCATTGTGCTTGCTGTTGATTTGTAGGCCATTTCTAAGGGAAGGCAAGGCAGGGGAGCCCAAAACTTAGTAAAGGTAGGTTTGCATGCTGATTTTTAGGAGTGCCATACGTAATAGTGTGATCTGAGAAGTGGAACCTGACAATGTTATTCACCAGGTGTATTTGGCAAATTTGCGCCTTAAGGGTGTTGCAACAGATGTTCTAATCACAGCCTATGAGCCTATAGTTATAAAGTAAGTTACAGAACATGTTACTCATATCAAAACTTATGAGCTTCCGTATCACCGGGCTGCCCTCTATTAGATATCTAGTTGGTCTTCAATCAATCTGTCATTTTCTTCAATCAACTGGGCTGCCTTCTAGTAGCCTCTTGAATTTCATGTAGTTCAATTGGTTATTGAATCTGTTAGTTCCTGGGTTATGGAGGGAGTTTTTCTTGCTTTTATGGTGTACTTTCTCTGGCTAACTGAGCTTTTATGCTCTGCACTGCTGCTGATGCATTTTTTTTCCTCTTCTTTCTTTCTTTTCCATTTGCTTTTGTAAACGTAGTCCCTTGAGTGAAAGTGCTATAGCTGTTGGGGCCGGTGTTGCTGTTCCTGCTGCACAGTCTGGATGCATGCCAATGAATGAGGTTTTTCAACTTGCTGCCACAAGTTTTAAGGTGAATGATTGGAGCCTCTTTGGTGCTGCTTCTTGAGAAGTTCTTGGAGGGTCTGTGATAGCTCGAAAGGAATGTCATGCAGATCAGATTTCCTAAATTCTAGCCTTTACCGTGAAATGGGTCAATTTGCTTTTTTGGCAGTGCAGGAAATTTGCTTGTGCTCATCTTTTATGTCTGGTCTGACCATTCAAATACGAGTTCTAGGTGGATATTAGTCTTAGTAGGCTTTGTTGTAGTCAGAAATCAATTTGGCAGCGATTGACTAATTGTTTTACCTTTTGGCATTGCAGTTTTTAGTGCCCCATTCAGATCTTCGAATTCGTGCAGGATACACATGCTAATCAGTTCATTGCACGCATTCTAAGATGAAAAAAGGGTAATTATAAGCAACAAACCCAGTTGCGCGTCTTCATTGCTTCTTGTGAAGTACAATGCTTCGTGCTTGCTGTAGTGCAAACAGAATAAGAGCTTTAGAGTTTAAAGATCTACTGAGATTATTGTTGTCTCTAGGAGGTGAAAAAAGAGATGAGGAACGGCAAAGGGAACATGATAAAGAAGGAAAAGTGTGGTCAATATTGTTCTAGAAAAAGTAAAAACCTTGACTGGGGGAGAACATGGAACAGGTCTGTACAAGATTGCTAGGGGAGAAAAATGAACACAAAAGAAAGACAAGTTATTTGATGACTAGAGGATGACCATTGTGATATTGGCATCCCTTCAAAGAGTGTAATGGCCATGGGCCCAGTTGGACGAATGATTTGTTCGATATGCTTTTGTGCACCCGTCAAATGTTGCATCACCATCATCAAAAAGTTTAGCAGTATGGAGAAATTGTGAAATATGCCATTGCCGTCCTTTTCTTTTGCCTGCAAAGTTGAGGAAATCCTCACACAGTGAATTCGACTTTTTCTCCGCTAAAACATGATCTGATGGAAAAGTAGAAGACAAAGCCAAAGGAGAGACACAGAATCCGCTGTATGTGTCATTTTTCGATTCAAATGCAAGAATTCTACTTGATGTGAATTTCTGACGAGAGCCATCTGTCTAGACTGGCAACAAGTACAAAAATGACCCCAAAAAAGCTAATTAGGTGCAGCTTTAATATCTCTGGTAGATTTTTCGGTTGCAAACACGGAGCCCAAGGAAAATGAGTATACATACTGTTGAAATCCTATCCGTCATTTTAATTTTAGCAAGAGCCAATTGATAATTATGGCCTAAAATACTCGATCAATAAGAAGAAGAGGGCAGGAGGTTAATTTGGGATTAGGCTTAATTCATTCAGCAAAAGTCATTACTGGAGTTGGAAAAAAAAAAATAAGAAGAAGAGGGCAGGGTCTTCCATCTCATATTTTAGCTGACTAGCTGAGTTATTGGTCCTTTTGCAGTTGCAAGTGTCATTCAGCAGCATGCAATTGCCCCCACCATAATGTTGCTCGCACAATTCTAGTTCCTAAATCTGGACTTTTGGGGTTCTCATGCTGTCCTCACTTTTCTCAATTTCTTCGTGTTTATACTCTGTAATGTACTGCATACCCTATAGATAGTGACGTAAAATTTCCTATTATCCCAAAAGTACGCCCACTTTGGCACGTAAACTACTTAATTGTGGACTTAGTGTACTATAATCTTTCATTTATTAGGTCGATTCAAGAACTGCGAATGGAATTTCCTGTGGCTTGGACTTCGTTTCACAAGAAAAAAGCAGCATGGAATTTATTCCTGCCTACAAATTCTGACCTTCCACCAAAGAATTAGCACTGTACATTAATTTCGGCTAAAATCTTCCACCTCTGGTCCAACATTAGAACACCTACAGCACCCCAAAGAAGAGAACAAAAAACATTAGGACGCCTAGATTGCTAATCGCCGAGTCATATTTGAAGTGACTTCGTAAATTTCTTGAAAAATGCCGGAGTCCCATTTGTTATTTAGCTACTCAGCAAGTCAGCGATCAGCACTAGGAAAAAACTTTATCAAAGCCAGTTGGAAAAATTCAAAGCAACTATACCTGATTGGAACAGCCATAATTAACCAACCTCCATGCCTGTTCTGACTTTGCCGACTAATTTTTTGCATTGAAAAAAGTAGATAAGAATAATCTGCAAAGAGGTAACGATAGATAATGTATTAATGTCCCCCCACTTTATCACCCTAACCGTCAAATTCAGGTGATACGAACATTGCTCTAGAGTGATTCGAGTAAACCATTTTCAGCAAAGAAAGAGATGAAGGCGGCAACTAGTAGAGGGACGAACGATCATATTTGCCAGTAGGGAGGCTAGAAACTAAACCAGATGAAACACACATGTATTTAATTTGCTCTGTGAATCAGTTAAGTTCGAGTTGTACCCTCACAAACTTTAAAGATATCTCCCAAAACAAAAAATTCCCTTTCACCCTTTGCCCAAAAGATAACCATTTCTCTTTTTTCCAGCTTCAATTTCTATTCAAAGGTTGGGCGGCAGAACACGGAGAAACTCCACTCAATAATTGAACTGATGATGATACAAGCGATGCATTCGTTCAAGTGGGTGTTCTTGAATTTGAAGCATTATTGCAGCTGTTGAAGTCTTGAAGATAACGAACTGACAGGTTAAAGAATGTTCTATGGCGGTGTGTTATGGGCATAGCGGACTTGCTATGCTGACCTTGACATATGTGAATGTGAACCGGACCAGACTTTCAGCAACCTTAATTAATATCATCATAGACGCGGAAAAACAATTGTCTCTGTCAGCAATTTCTTTTCTTTATTCGTATATGACAATTGTAGCATTTTTTTTTAATATGAAAGGATGCCCCAGAATTAAATTGTTTTGACGGCTTTTCATAATATACAATATTTTGAATTAGCGTTAAAAACCATATATTGAAATTGGTTAGTAAATATACAAGGACAAGTAACAAACTTTTCAATCTTCAACTATAACAATCATATTCTCATAGTTTTTGTGATAGATTTATAGTTGTACTTCTTAAACCAAAGTTTATAACATTGTGATACTTTTCTGTGATATGATATGTGTGCGATAAAAAATGTATTTACGATACAATTATATTATTATTTTTTTTTCAAATGTTGTATTCAAACACAGTCTCGCATCCTTAGACTCCAATAATTGATTCAGATTTTCCAACGAAAAAAAGGGGAAAAAAAAAAAAAAAACTCTTGCATGCACGGACACTATCAATGCTATATGAGCATTGTCAAAATCAGGGTGGATAAATCTTAATGATATGGAACAAATTAGTGGTTGTGGTTGCCGAGCGTGGCGATGGATGGAAATTTGACAGGGAAGGATCGTATGCATCAACGGACTTTAACAGGCGCCAGTCAATCTCGCGCAAATTAGGAATTTGAAATTTGTGCACTTGGTTGGTGCAAGAAACCTATCGTACCATTGTCCGATTCATATGTACTACCTTATATTTTTCCAGGTACCATCAAATCCATTGCCATATCAAATTAATGATACTAATTGGACTTGTGCCACGACTCGGCCCATATCCTCCTATTAAACTTAAAATACTAGTGCAATTGGCAAATATTTAGAATATTTCTCTACGGGTTCAAGATAATTCTTTTGATGGCATACACGCAAGATTAAAAGTAAAAAAAAAAAAAAAAAAGATTGAAAAAAAATGTATGATGCCTATTTGTCCAAATGGAATAGCATGACTTAATTGATTTCTTGAGGGAGGTGAAATAGTAGTGAATGATGGGATAGAGGTCAATTTTTGTAATAATTCGTTAATTACAAGGAAAAAAGAAACTAAAGAAAAACTAATCCGATGAAGATTATCAGCATGTGACATGACATATCTAATCCGGTGGTTGTTGTAGTGTCCACAATCGGAATGGAATGGCATGAGTCACTTGAATGATTTCTTGAGGGAGCTGAAATAGTGAATGATGGGATAGAGGTTAATTGTTGTCATTCGTTTAATTACAAAGAAAAATTAAGCTAATGAAAAACTAATCCGACGACGATTATTAGCATGTGACATGACATATCTAATCCGGTGGTGGTTGTGGGGCTCATAATCGGAATTGCATGGAATAGGAAACTTGGCTTTCAAACATCAAACATAACCAACGCTAGGATCATTACAATTCAGTTGACAAACACGAGTCAAATGTACATCCTAATTGGTACTATTATCAATTTAATTATGTCCGAAATTCATGGTGGATGCATTGCTTAACGTACATAATATTTACCTAATCTAACAATTATTATCCTTTCTTGCATTTATATATTTTTCCTATTTAATCTTACCTATCCTCCTTATATTTATTTACTTTCCCTAATTAATATTACATTTCCAAAATATGACACCTAAAAAATTAGATGGTATATATGGCTTTGTTTGGATTTCTCAATTTTTGAAAAACAAGTTTTTTTTTTTATATACAATGCTACAATGATATACAAACAAAAACAACTCTAAAAATACCACATCCATACAATATATCAAAAACAACTCCAAATATACAAAGAAAAATACACCACCACCACTACTATCCATCACTCTCCACCACCACCGCCACCACCCCACCCCCACCCCCACTACTCTCCCTTCTCTCTCCTCTCTCCCCCCATCTTTCCTTCTCCTGCTCATTTCTTCCTCTTCTTCTCCTTCTTTCCATCCCTTTCCCCGCCCCTCAATTCCCCTTCCCCTTCATTGACCGCAACCCTCCTGGTTGTGAGTCTTGTAACCAAATTTGATCCCCACCAGAAAGGTCGTAGCTAGAGTCGCAGTTACCACTCGCGAGTGGGAGAGGGGTTTGGGGTTGGGGGAAAGAAAGGGAGAGGAAAGAGGGATGAGGAGGAAGAGGGATAGGAAAGAGAGGGGAGGGGAGAAGGAGAGGAAGAGAAAGGAGAGAGAAGTAGGAGGAGGGAGGGGGTAGTGGTGGGTAGTGTAAAATTTCAAACAAATCCTCCAAAAAAGTTATAAATTATAAAAAATATCCCAAAACATATTTTAAAAATACCTCTAAAGAGTAAAGACAATCCAAAAAATATTTACAATAAAAGTTTTTCATATACACAATTACAGTAAAATTTTTGAAAAACACCTCAAAAAATAGCTAATCCAAATAGATCCTATGTTATTTTTGAACTGTATACACTTTTAAAGTATTTTTACTTTAGCTATTCACTGTATGTTCAGAAAAATATCCATGAATGCCTATTGAATATCCAAACTCACGAGAATTCGGGTTTGGGTTTTCTTTTTCAAAATCATAAGGGTCTAAGTCTGGATCTGAATTTGAATGAAAGAAATCTATCCTAGATACTACTCATGAGAATCCGGGTTTGGGTTTATTTTTTCAAACCAACAAAGTATAGGTCTGAATTTGGGTCTAATTAAATTTAGTGGGTCTGAATTTGAATAAAAGAAATCTAACC